GGGGGTCAGCCTATGGGGGGACCGCACCCGGCTCTCTGGGTCGTGGGTGCGTGACCCGGCCTGCAGCCTCGTCAGCTGATGTCCCTTCAACATCGTGAGACTATCCGTGGGGGGTGGGCGGCGCCAATTCCCGTCGGTGGTCGTTCGTGCAGCAGTGAACTCGCGTAATGCTCCCGAGGGCCAACGCGGAGCCCGTTTCCGGGACGAACGTTACGTCCAGCCTGGATCCCCGGACTCCAGCTGCCTCCTGAGCGCCCCGCCCCGTGCTGTGTGGACGCCCCAAGTGCAACCGGCGCCAAGGCAGGGCTTCCAGCTTCATCCCGCACGTGTCCCCTCCCCCATCCCAATGCCCACCTGGAAGAAGCCCCTTAAAGGGAGCGGCTGCTGCGGCGGGAAGTGAGCCCACGGCCGGGAAACGCGGATCCTTGCGAGGGACTTGCAGACCCGCCCCCCGCAACCGAGCTGCTGCTCTGAGGACAGAGCCCTGACTGCTCCTCGCCCCTTCCTGACGCGCGAGTCGAAATGCTCACCTGGCGACGTTTGGAATGAAAAGCCAGAGTCCCAGTGTGCAAGATTTCAGAATGGCTATTTCCAGGGTAATATGTCTGGTTTTCCCTTTTTCCCTTTTCAGCTACAAATGAATGTCACCCTTTGAGGACGGATGGGTGTCAGCACTTCTGCCACCCGGGGTCGGGGTCTTACACGTGCAGCTGTGCAAAGGGGCATAAGCTGGGCCAGGACCACAAATCCTGCATCCCCCACGGTGAGTCCCCTCCGCTGGGCCTCCTCCTGCAGGGACCTCTGACAGGCCACCTCCTCCCCCGTGGCTGGGCGCGGGGTCCTCCTCCTCCGAGGCTGGGCCGGGGGTTCCCAGTCCCCTGCTGGGCTTGCCCGGGGCCTCCTCGGTCCCTGAGAGCAGGTCGTTTAATCTCACCTGCTCTGTGTTACACGAATTATCTCAACCTAGCGGGCATCCAGGAATAGGCTGAAGGGTCAGCGTCACAGATAAACCTGACGTCTGCCCTGGGAGGCACTGACTTTTCTTTTCCTGTGGCCACAATGAAGACAGGTGTGCGTGTGGAGCCCTCATCTCTGAGTGCCTCCTGACGTCACAGGGATGCGAGCAGGACCCTCCGACTTTCCCGTGGCAGGTAGCAGAAACATTTTATAAATGTGTTTTAATCTTTTGTTACAGATTTCATCCTATTTGTCATCTCCAGCTTCTTTGATTTAGGTGAACTACTTACAATCTCAACATCACACTTCCAAGCACTTTCTCATTCTGAACTCACAGCTTCGGTGTCTTCATTATTTGCACCAAATAAAAACATAGAGTTTTATTTACAGCCATCCAAGGCCTTTCTTAGAGTCCAAAAACCGTTTCCAATGTCACTGCTCTCGGAAGATAAGCATCCTGGCGGCACTCGGGTGGACACGGTGGGTCCAGAGCCAGAGCGAGGCCCGGGCCCTGCTCACACCAGCTGGCCGAGTCCAGCTCCACTGCCATGTTCAGGAAACGTCTCTTCTTTGGCACCATTTCTGTTATTTTCCTGTTTCTCCCTTGCCTGGTTTGGAAGCTAAACATTCTATTTCTCTTCATCCAGTGACAACTCTTGACACTGAAACTTTCATATCTAACTTAGCAAATACCTGAAGTTCTTATGTTTACCCCTTCTCCCCAATTATTTCAAGCACCTCCCACTAGGCTCATCTGCTATTTTGACCAATATTTTATTCTTTTCTTGCTTTTTTAGTAACTCCACAAAATGAGTATTATTTTTAATCATACGCCAACATGGGTTTGGATTTACCTACGTTTTGCATTTTCCTTGCATCCCAGGCCCTTAATGCAGATCATCCCCTTCTGTCTCGTCTGTCCTTGAGAACAGCCCTGTCAATAGAAACACAATATCGGCCACAGACGTCACTTAAATTTTCTAGTAGCCACGTGCATAAAAGTAAAAGCAGGTGAAATTAATTTTGATAGTGTGTTTTACTTACCTCAATACATCTAAATATTATCTCAACATGTAATGAATAGTAAAAAATGAGAGACAGTCACATTTTCTCTTTCAACTAAGCCTTTGCCCTCTGGGGTGTACAGCCTTTTACTCTTGGAGCACATCCTGGCTTGGACCAGTCAATCTCAAGTGCCCAGTAACCACAGCGACCACCATGGTCGACAGAGAGCTTTACAGGGCCCTTTGGTGACGGGGCTGCGTCGGCCCCGCGTGCGTGCGCGTGTGCGCATGTGCGGAACGCGTCTCCTTCGCCCTGCTGCTCGCAAGCAGGTGGAGCCGGGCGGAAGCGTTCGGCCGCCGGGTGGAGGCCCGGCCAGACGACGGTCAGAGCTCAGTGACCACCGGACCCGAAAGGACCGAGGGAGGGGACATCAAGTGAGAGGCGGGGTGGGGGTGGGGATCTGTCCCCAGCGGGACCGTACCTTTGCTGCCTGTCCTCCTGAGCGTCCATCTTCCAAGTGTCCATCACTCGCCCCTTCTCGCCTCTCCACTCCGTGCGCTGAGGCGGCCTCAGCAGTGGGTGGGCTGGGCTGGGCTCGCTGGAGGGGTGTGCGCCCATATTCCTAACCACGACACTATACTGACCTGAATCCTGAAAACAGGCACCAACTCTTTATTGTCTGTTTGGTTTTTAAAGGTAAAACTAACAAATTCCGAAGGAGAAGACGTCTGTGGAGGCGTGTTCTAACACAGGACAATTCTGTACTGACGACAGCGAAATGTTCGCTCTTGTACAGAAACATGAGTGTGGAAACAAGTAAGTATTTTATCATTCTTTTTTTTTAAAATAAATCTATTTATTTATTTATTTATCTTTTAAGTTTTGGCTGCATTGGGCCTTCGTTGCTGCACACGGGCTTTCTCGAGTTGCGGTGAGCCAGGGCTACTCTTCGTTGCGGTGCGCGGGCTTCTCATTGCGGTGGCCTCTCTTGTTGCGCAGCATGGGCTCTAGGTGCGCAGGCTTCAGTAGTTGTGGCACGTGGGCTCAGTACTTGTGGCTCGCGGGCTCTAGAGCGCAGGCTCTGTAGTTGTGGTGCACGGGCTTAGTTGCTCTGCGGCATGTGGGATCTTCCCGGGCCAGGGCTCGAACCCGTGTCCCTTGCATTGGCAGGCAGATTCTTAACCACTGCGCCACCAGGGAAGCCCTGTCACTCCTTTTTATAAGATCACATTGGAAGTAAAAACTATCCTATGTAGAAATAAAAATTTTAATCTAGATTTTTTGCTTCGAATGCAATACAGACTGAGCTTATCTTCCTACTGGTGAGATCACTCATAAAGTCATACGGGGATACCTAGTGGAACTCTGGGCACAGCAAGCAGACAAATGCGGAATATTTAGGCTAAGGAGGAAATCACAGCTGATGAAACTGTCACTTAATCTGACACTGACGTGGGGCAGCTCGGATCCCTGTCCACCCCGGGGCCTGGGCTGTGCTGTGAGCTGCTCCACAGCGATTCCCAGGACCCGCAAATATACGCTCCAGCCCCAGACACTTTTCAGTCAACAGAACGTCGGCCTAGAAAATGACATCTGAAAAGCCAAGCTCTGATTGGCTTGGAGAGGTTCCTCCTAATTTCTTCCTAGTCTTTTGACCCGTTCAGCAACCCGCACTGCGCTCTGCGCCCGCGCCCCCGCCCCCGCGAACACCTCACTGGGTTTCCTAGAGCAGAGTGTGGGAGAGGCCCCTTCGTGGGGTAGCCCCTGTCCCCTGCGCGCAGAAGCCGGGCGGCGGGGCGCACGTTGTCACCTTGACCTCCGCCCCCCCCCC